CAAAATGACCTAAGCGAAATTTTTTTAAATTTACTTTTTGGTGCAGAAATGCATTTAGATACTCAAGGAATATTTCCGCACCGAAAATAAAATTTTGAAAAAATGTCACTTATGTTATTTTGGCGGTTAGGGTGTGGTTTTATTTGTCTTAAGATCTAAACACAAATGGCATGGCACTGTCACTAAGTGGTAGATGTAGGATTCATAAATTTCGCTTAAACTTAGTCGTTTTTACTATTTGTTAGTATTGATAATAGCTAATCTAAGGATCTGCAAAGTATATATGTATGTACATACTTGTTTTTAGGTGAGTGTCTCCCCTGTTTCTGGTGATTGGCAAGTGTTTATTTTTTGCTATCTCTAACATTTAAATAAAAGTACTTCTGATAAGCAAAGTTAGGTATCATTTTATTTGAAAAACAATTTTTGAATAATTGTTTCTTAACTAAATTAGGGTTGTCTTGTTTTTATTTTTTAATATATGTACATATTGGCAATCCAGTTGACTTTTAGCTAACAATCGTAAATTCTTTTAAATGCATATTAAATAAATAAATTTGATACTTATGGTCAACTAAAAAAAAAAAAAATATATATGTACATTAAATTTTTGGGACTGCGCTGGCGCTGCACATTGTGTGTACTGAATTTTAAATGATACTGTACATACATATGTACATACGTATATGATTGCCCAAGATGTAAGTATGTAGACAGATTTTGGTTAAATCTCTTAAATTTTTTTTGTATGTATCGAATGTGTCAATAAAAACATTCCGTGAATAGGCGAATTCAACTGGATAGCAATTTAAAATAATGAAGTCAGAAATATTAAAGTAAAAAAAAATACATGTGGACAAACACAAATACTTACATATTTAGTTCATGGCTTGTGATTTGAAATATAGAAATTGTAATATTTTTAACAATGAATTAAATGTAAAATGAATTACCGTTATTTGGCGTTCAATTACGTTTAATATCTGTGAATGAAAGAGAATTTACCTTTTCTAAATAACGTAGTGCAAAACTTAAAAAGTTCACGCTTTTTTTGGTTTTTTAGACATGTAATTATTTAAGGTTTTCAGGCTCTAATGTATATTTATTTTTTTTAATTGATTAAATGAATAATGAAAATTTACTGACGAGCAAAAAAATATTTACATATGTATTTGTAAATACATAAATAAAAGCTTTAATAATAAAGAAATAATAAAAATAGGGACTTACAAAAAACTAAAAAATTATGAGAAATAATAGATAAAAATAATAAAAATACAAAAAGTTGAAAATAATAAAAGATAAAAAATAATAAAAGACAAAAAATAATAAAAGACAAAAATAGTGAAAGATAAAAACTAATAAAAGATAACAAAATAATAAAAGATAAAAAAATGAAAGATAATACCTAATAAAAGATAACAAAATAATAAAAGTTGAGAAAAAACTAAAATATAAAAGATAAAAAATAATAAAAGAGAAAAGTTAAAAAAAATAAAGATTAAAAATAATAAATCAGTAGTCCATTCCCCAATCCCTACCAAACTTGGTATGAGCTTGGCATAGGGTCTAGCCATGGGCGTAGCCAGGTAGGGGCAGGGGGGTACTCGAGCCTCCTCCCCTAACTTTCAAATTTTCCTTATATATAAATAAAATAGTACCCTGAAATGCCAGCTTACTAGGGTCGACCAAGTGAATACTTACAACAATCTCTTAATAAATAAGACTGCTATAGACTTTTAGGAATTGGGCATGGCACCGCCCACTTTATGACTACAAAGGTGTATCTCGGTAATCACTTTATCGATTTCTATCAAACTTGGTTCAATTATATGATTGAGCCTAACTCAGCATATTATCGAAAACGTTTGAAATCGGGGAAAAACACCCCTGCTTATCATGCAAAGGTACTTTAGAGAAAGTTGAAACGACAATATTTGATACCTGCACCGGTTTCGCCTAAATGTATACTTCTTTACTTGTTTTTAATTATTTTCCTTTATAAATGGTACAAAAATTTACGACTTAAAATAGTTATTTTTGTTAACAGCAATGAAATAAGACTATATTAGGTTGTTATTCGTTTTAAAACAATAAAATATATATTAAAATAAATAACTAAATTTTTTAACAATAAAAAAATAATGAAAAACAAATTGATAGAAAATGTGCTAAGTTCACATTAAAAGAATAAAATCATAAAGAGAAAATGTGGTAAGTCTCAAAAGAGCCTATAACAGCTTTATTTTGAAATTGGCCGATTATTAGTACTGCAACAAGACAAACTCGTAGAGAGTATTGGAAAAATGGAATTTTTGGAGGTATTCTTGTAGATTTACTTATGTTAGTAGCCGTCATCGATTCGCCAACAGTAAGCGAGTGGCGAAACGAACGAACTTAATGAGGTACAACCAAACTCGCTATCGTCCATCCTTGCTAGCTAACTTTGTTGTTGCTTTCACATGCTTTCACACAAATCGATGACGGCTAGTATTGCCGGTATTGCTGGTATCTCCCGTATAAACTAAAATTCTCATGAGGAATATCTCTGGAAGCATAATTAATTAAAAAATAAATGGTTAAAACTTGTAAATAATTAGTTTTCCCTAATTATGTGTGGCCAAAACTGTGTGTAGAAATATAGGCATCAAGTTCGTTTCGTCTTGCTTTAAACTTATTGGGATTTCGTTTTTACCAAAAAATTTCGCATTTTGATTATCTCTTTCTCTTTTCGTGATCGATTCTAAAATAAGGGCAAACGGTGGGAAAATTTGTGTTCGTATCTTAAAATGTCATACTCTTGTAAGGAAAAAAGCCACATTTTCTGCCCTTTGAAGCTTCGTCAGAGGAGATGGTTGCCCTGAAAATTAGATGGTTGCTTCAAACGATATTGTTATGAAATGCGTGAGCTGACCCTTTTAAAGGGTTGAGTGTATTATCAAACATTTTTTGCTAGAAACGAAATCACCATTAAATGACAGAAATTATTTGTCAATTAAATGCCTAGTGGAAATTTAGCAATATTCGGGAACATACGTAAATACATATTTGTATGAGTCGAGTTAGATAGTGTCTACAAAGTAAAAGGGGTTTCTTAGAGGCTGGGTTCAATGTGTTTACCAATTTGCATTGATCTAAGACGGAAATAAACTACAGGAATCCACAAAACACCAAATTCTGTTCAGTAATTTCTGTTAGGGAAGTGAACTGACAGTCACAACTTCTATGTTCTATCCCGACTATGTCTAAGATTTTAGCACGGAATTTGTCCGTCAGTCGCAGCCCATTAAACGCACTTCTCACCTTCTTTTTATCAAATCACTTTATTTGTATATACAGTTTAGCCGAATTTGGAATAAACCAGCGATTTTGAGGTATCATATGTTCATATGTGTATTTGAACATTTAGTGCTAATTGACTGTTTGACTGTTTTCAATATCAATTTATCCAGTGCAAGTTCTCGATTATAACTATTGTACAATAGCATTTTTTAACACTTCAGTTCGCAAACGGAGTGTAACATTATAATAAAAAGTGATAGGTACATATTTTCCATAAACACAATTGAGTCTTATTGACACTTTGTGGCACACGCGTTTTAACTGATACAAAGGGAAAGTATTAGGGATGTGCGATTAATCAATTAATCGAACGAGCTGATTAATCAAAAGCCGATTAATTAATTAACCAAAAAATCATTATTTTTGATTAATCAAAATGATTAATTTTCCGATTAATTACATATTGATTAATCAGAATCTAATTAATTTGATTGATCAACAAACTGATTAATCATAACCTGATTAATATGTACATATTAACATGGTATGTACTACACTACTACAAGTACGTACTTGTTTGGAATTTTATTTTTAATAATACAAATTTTTTTATCAATAAGAAAAAATATTGAATGTACATACAAACATACATATACAAAATTTCATTTGGTTTGAAAGCAAACTCGAAAAAATGAACAAAGTTATTCATATTTCAAATAATTATATTTTTTTTTTGAGTAAACAGTAATTACTCAGGATCTGATCAATCAAATTATTTGATTAATCAGGATTATGATTAATTAAAGAATTGGTTAACCGATTAATCTCACATCCCTAGAAAATATAGTAGATACACAGTTCCGCAACAAATCTTTATGGCGTCGTATGACCCAAAGCCTGAAATCAAAGTTGCACGAGTTTGCAAATATGCCACCTTGCGTTGTTTACATACATATATACATATGTACATATGTACGCCCCATTCTTGCGTCCTCACATTCCATTCCGCTTCCATCGCTTCTCGTTGCGATCGACTTGCTAAACAATAATAATCGCGCCATATGTAGCTGCATATTTCATTGATTTGTGGCGCTGAAAATTTTCACGCTGCTAGAATTGCCGTACAGATGCTAAAACCGCGATCACTTAACACTTTTAACTACCCATTTCCAACACAACATCAATTGAGTTTCATTGCTATCGATCGCGCTGAACGTTTGCATTGCAAATCGACGGTTACTTTGGCAAAACATCGTATCTCAGAAAGCACTAATACTTCGTATCTCGTAAAATTAATTCAAAATAGGCCTTTAACTGAAAAGTACTTAATTTCTAATATCCAGTAAAAAAAGTTATTAAAAAATGATTTTCCGTTATTGATAGAGCGTTTTTTTTTTTTAGAGAGTGTGGTTTCAGACTGTTTTGAGATACGAGGTTTTGCCAAAGTACCGTCGAAATGTGGGAGTCGAGGAGGGAGGGGCACAAATGCCATCGTTTAGGACAAAATAGACTTTCTAATGGAGATAGTGGAATTCGAGGTCACTATTAATGCGCATGGGAAAGGAAATATTATTTACACATAGAAACAGCGATGTGTTGGAAACTGTGTCACGCAACACTTCCGCCACCAGCTTTGTAGTGAGGATACAAGCAAACTCATACTTAAATTTATTTTGTACTTACTTTATTATATTTCTCTTTTGTTTATTTTCTTTCAGAGGGCGAACATGTTATCATTGACAATAGCTGCATTGATGAAGTTTCCGACTTGCATGCGATGGGCTCTGAGACCAGCTTGAATGAGATCCACTCACACCACTGCACGGAAAACATTGCACAAGACTACCAGCTGCCACAGCAACAGCTACAATTATTGCAGCCGATTTTGCAGCAACCTCAACAGGAGCATCACCAACAGCCACCGCATCACCAAGAAACTCAGCAAGTTCCCATACAAATTCACCAACAGAATGTTGTTGATGTCTGTGTGGGCGTTGTTACCAATGAAGTATACAACAACAATAACCAATTATTGATGACCGATGTAAATGAGTTGAACGAAAACGTGCCAAATGAAGAGCCGACCGAAGTACCTGTGGCGGCTGTGGCCCCATCACAAGCTCCTGCCGCTGTAGACGCTCCAGTACCGATACCGGTACCGGTACCGGTACCACAGCATCAGCAACCGCCACCGCCACCAACAGTGGCCGCCGTAGTTACTGCACAGCAGTCGACATCAATCACGCCAGTGGCAAGTGCTGCTACAGCTACCAATGTATCGACGCAACAGCAACAAATTCAGACCTCGCCTCCTTTGCAGAAATATCACCAACAGCAGCAGCAGCAGCAACAACAACAACAGCCACCACCACAGCAGCAGCAGCAGCAGCATTCAAAGCATCAGCAGCAAACGTACAATCGTTACGATCAGCAGCAACAGCAACAGCAGCAGCAGCAACAACAGCAACAACAGCAACAGCAACAACCGCACCATAATCAACAATATCACCACCAACAAAATCATCATTATCAATATGAGCAGCGCAGACCACAACAGAATTACAATAGTAATCAGTCGCGCCGTAAATACGATTATAACAATCCATCGTATGCTGCTAATAATAACAACAATAACAATAATGATTCTGCCATCCAAACTACAAAGACAATGTCATGGACAAATTCGAGCAAAAAGTCAACGGCTTCGGTCGCGGTTACCGCCACACCGAGTAACAACAATAACAACGCCCAAAATAGAACGTACAGTCATTCGACGAAGACGTACACGAATCATCAACATCACTACCAGCAACAGTCGCACTACCATCAGCAGCAGCAGCAGCAGCACCAACAACAACAGCACGGTGGCCACTACAATCAAGGGCCGCAGATGCGCAACTATAGCGGCATGAAAATGCCTTCATCGCCAGTGGGCAGTGGTGCGCCACCACAGTTTGGCAACAATGTGAGTGGGGGTGAGCGTCGGAATAGCCAGGCAGAGCAGCCAAAATACGCGAACTCTAACAATGGTTCATACAACAACTACAATCAATATTCCAATAATAATAGCAACAACTCTTCGGGAAGCAGCATTAATTTAAATAGCGCAACGGCAGCTACTTCCACTGCTAGCACCACCGCGGCGCCGCAACACTTCTCGCAACAGCAGCAGCAATACTCACAAGGAGGCTCGCAGCAGCACCAACACCACAACCAGCAGCAACAACCTGCACAGCCGCCACAACAACAAGCGCTGGTAATTGATAGCAAGCAATATCCCGGCTTTACGAGCAGCAAGAAAGCCGCCGCCGCCGCCGCCGCCGCTGCGGCTGCTGCAGCAGCAACGGCTTCCTCCTCTGTCGCGCCCATCATGAATTTGGCGCCACCAATCCCTACGAATACCAACGCCTCCACATCTAGCACCCAATCGTGGGCCAGCTTATTCAGCGACACCAATACATCGGCCACATCGTCCGCAAGCGCCAGTGGTGCCCAGTCCAGCAGCAACAGCAGCAATACGAACGCCAGCAACCAGAGTAGCAACTCTGCACCTGCGCTGCCACCACCATTTTCATCCAAGAAGCCGGTTGCCAAAGTAGCGCCGTATGAGTGCGTTGTGCCTGCGCCGATCAATCCTACCCCGCCGGTGGTGCTGCCGGGTGCCATGTCCTACTCGGCTGCCTCTGCTCAGGGCATATCACCTCAGCAGCCGGCAGCAGCTAAAGCGGCCGCAAAGGCAGAACCGCTCACACCCATAGCCCGTGCCAATTTGGATGAATATACACTGAAGTTTGCGGATTTCCTGACCAAGACCAAAACCGACTTGTCCACAGTGAGCTTGCGTCCACGTGGGCTCACCAATCCCTCCAACTACTGCTACATCAACTCCATTTTGCAAGCGTTGCTAGGCTGTGCGCCATTCTACAACCTGATGCGCTCCATACCAAAGCAGGCAGCAGCGCTTTCCGAAGTGCGCACCCCCACAGTGAACGCGCTGTAAGTGGCGTGCCCTTATTTTCTTAGAATCTCGTCTGTTGAATTATTAATATACATGTACATATGTACATATGTGTGTAGTTAGTGTATTGCATAAGAAATGCCATAAACAGTCAGCGGTTGCGCTCTATTCACCAATTGAATGCGATCGCGTTACATTTATGGTAGAGTAATTATAACCGAATTGCTTTGTGACTGCGCGTGAAACCGTTTTGGTGGAGCGCCGTGGTTGCATGCGTTTCGATACTGTCTCTACCGCAAAGTGAAATGGCGCTGGACTGCCTTTTGCACAAGGAAACAGAGATGCACAAATAGTATTTTAATGATATCTTTTTATAAATAAAAAGTTCCATTTTCTATTTGCTTGCCTTTTATTGCCTCAGCTAAATTCTAATTGTATTTTTTTTTTATAGCATCTCATTCGTTTCGCAATTTTCTACGCTGCCATCTGGGTTGCGTTTACGCACAAATAAGGGTCCTAAAGGCAAAGACGAACTGGGTAGTGAATTGCAATGCGATTCTGCTTTCGAACCGACTGAAATTTATCGCTTATGGGTCGATAGCCGCGAAGAGTACGTGGAGGGACGTCAAGAGGACGCCGAAGAATTCCTAAGCTATGTGCTCAACAAACTCAATGATGAAATGCTCGAGGTGAGTGATAAATTAAGCTTAAAAGTTTTTGTGCCGGCTAAATGAAAATTTTCCTCAGGTAATAAAACTGGTAGCTAAACCAAACGCCGAACAAAATGGTCGAAACGATGTTTCGGAGAGTGAAGACGGCGATGAGTGGCAGGTATGTTATACGAATTGTAGCATTAAGGGTAGATTCTACTAGATTTTGGTTGCTCCTTCACTGTTTACTCGTTTCAAATCTAAAACGTTTTGTTTTTCTATAGATGATTTGCAATAATCGCAATAAGGGTAGTGTCACACGCCAAACCGATTTCGGACGCACTCCCCTGAGCGACATATTCCGCGGCGAATTGCGTTCACGTTTGCAGCGTGAAGGCGAGCACTCTACCGATGACATTCAGCCATTCTTTACGTTGCAACTAAATATAGAAGTAAGCCCTTTTTTCCCGACAGTGCACATGTGTGCAAAATAATTATTTTATGTGGACGTATGTAATTGTTTAAATTTGGTTTATTTATAGAAAGCCGCTTCAGTGAAGGAAGCACTCGAAATATTGGTCGGCCGTGATCAGTTGGAGGGTGTAACTGGCAGCAAGACAAAACAAGAAGTTGTGGCTTGGCAACAAATGACACTGGAAAAGCTACCAACGATTTTAATTTTGCACTTGAAATGGTTCGATTACCGCTCGGATGGCTGCACCAAGATACTGAAGAAAGTCGAGTTCCCAGTGGATTTAAAAATCGACGCAAGTACGTAATTTCGTTTTTTTTTAGCTTTTAATTTCACTGATTCAAGTTATTCTAACGCATGTGTATTTTTAAATTTTCTTCGGCATTGTAGAAATTCTTGCATCCAAAAAATATTCAATGAAGCAACGCGCCTACCGCCTGTTCGCCGTGGTCTATCACGACGGCAAAGAAGCAACAAAAGGACATTACATCACCGATGTTTATCACACGGGCTACAGCAGCTGGCTGCGTTTTAATGACAGCTCAGTGAAACCGGTCAGCGAGAACGAAGTTCTCTATCCGAAAACACCGCGCGTGCCTTATTTACTGTACTATAGGCGTTGCGACACAATGCCACCGCAGCCCACGTCTTCGGCTGCTGGTGGTGGTAATGCAAACCCCTCGTACTCAAATGCAGCTAACAGTGGCCGAGACCGTGATAGCAACAAGTAAAAATGCGGCGAACGCAAAGCGTAAGTCGCGAGTAGACTACTACCAAATGGCAAAGCCAGTCCTGAGACACGTAGGCATGTACGTACGCATGAAGTGCGGCAATATGGAATAAACCACGGCCAAAGTAAGGTGTATCTGCAAAAGGGTATTCAATTGGATGCATCTACGCAATAGGTAATGGGGATTACAGCTTAAAAGAAACCAAAAACGTTTCTGACGCTGCCAATCCAAATGTGCGAAATCGAGCATATGTAATATATACTATAATTTTGTTTCAATTTTAAGTTTATACTGAACACATTATGCATGCAAATATGGCTGACACATACAATTTTATACGCACCTATACATATACTTTAAATTTAAGCATTTTTTTTTTGTTTTCTTTTTTGCATTGTATTGAAAATGCAAACAGTTGTTGGTTGTTGCCTTTGATCAAAAATTATGTTATGTATGAATGTAGTATGACGTATGCGAAACGTTTTCCGAATGACTTATAGGAAGCTGGATAAAGTAGGGATGAGGTTTGTTTTAGCAATTATTGGTTTATGATGACGGAGCAGAGCTCACGAGCAAATCCAGAGAGCAAATAGCATAGTGTTAAAGAAATGAGCGCATGTAAATGTTGTATATAATATATGATCATGTACAAATTACATATAAAATTCGTTAGAGAAATTAATTCGTCGCACATATGAGAATGCCTATATTTTGCAAGCAACAAGCGTACGCTTTTTTATTTGGAATTGAAATGATTGCATGAATGAATTCTATAAAAATAAAAACAAAATGCGACAACAACGAATACTATAGAAAACGAAATTAAAAGAAAAAGATTTAGATGAGATGTGAATTCTTTTGATGCAAATAAATGATAATGCTTGAAATAAAACGCTAGTAATGCTAGTTCAGCATAAAAAAGAACTGCATATGTATGCTATTTACAAATATGCATCAATGAAGATCAATTTAATTTAAATGTAGTGTTAATGGAACAATGAATATCGTTGAGAAAGAGTTAGTACATACAAACATATATTCAATAGTCATAATAAATTGCCTTTTTTTCTACAGAAAACAAAACCAATTAAAGGGATACATAGATTATCTATAACTCTTTTTTTTTTGTAATAACGTAATATTTAAGAAAAATACGATATATTATATTTACCATAGAAATTTTAAGCTAATGAAAAAACGGACGAAATAAAGTCTTTATTTTTCTTATTATCGTGCGAGTGTGTGACATGCGTTCAAGTTACCAAAAATTGACATTATTCAATAAAATCGACTCCGTTCTGACTGACTACACGCCAATAAAAGAAGTACAAGATTTAAAAAAAAAGCCAGTGGCAAGCTAAGCAGCTTTTTGACATAATACATTGGGTTAAATACACATATATGTATAAGAATAAATTTATTTGTTGCACAGCTCCTTTCCTTGAAAAAATTTAGTTAAATAAAGGATTTCGTAAGGATGTATGAAATTTTTCAAAATCAAGCCACGCATCTTTTCCCGCACCATTATATTAAGGCACTAGGGGTATTCAGGCGTTAATGCGAAATGCAATTGAAACGATGCGAAATGTGAAATTACAAAATTATATATCAATGTCATGTTGTCGCATCAGTCATTGCAGTTGCTCATGGTTGGTATATAGTGAAATAGCGATCTCACACTTTGCATCTTTGCAACTGCATTTCGCATTAACACCAGCATATCTCTACTTACTTTTATTTCAATTTCCATGTTCTTTGTTCTGTAAAATAAAAATTTAATACATATATTGATGTTTTTGAGCTATAATGCTCAAATAATAAAATATTTTTTCAAACTAATACTAGCTCGTATAAATATTAAATTTAAGTTAAAATAAATGCTTTGAATATGCTTTAAAATTTGAAGACGCTCAGTTACGTGTTTGCACTTCATGAGTAGTTGCTTGATACATACATACATATATGAAATACGTCGATTTATTAGAGAAAGGAAAATAATACGCATAATTAATTTACAAGTTAACGCTAGCTGTAGGTATACTACATATGAATAAATATCTAACACGCATGTACGTAAACATATATGTAACTTTATTATCTCATAAGAGTTTATGAATACATAATCTTATCAGCACATACATACATACATAAGTTTTAGGTGCAGACACACAATGCACGGCTCTAAATTAAAGAACTATCGGACGAGATCGCAAATAACAGTTAACCAGCAAACAAAGATTTTCTGTTTCTCCCATTTGGCTTGCATATTTTTTTTTTATGGGGAAAAGGTTTCTCACTGTGCAATACGCATTCGCCCGTATATAAACGTAAAATTATATATGCATACCTCTCGCCCGGTGAGATTTCGAAATGAATTACATATATGTATTTTGTTTATAATTTTTTCATTATCACGGATGGTTGTTATATTAAGTTTCTCTTATATTCGTGATTAAGTTAGCGTGCCGCCTATCAAAGAAAATAAATATAAATGACGCGTGAAAAAAATGAAATAGTTTGTGTCAATGTTTGTTAGATAGACTGTACTTTTAAAAAATATTGCGTTTTAAATCCGATTATTTTGTGCATTTTTAGTTTTTAAATCAAAAATAATAGTTTTTTGTGCAGATTTCGTTCAGAATTTTATCGCTATTTTTTTTTAAGAATCTTCGTGTCTAAAATTTCAGCATTTTTGGGATTTTTTGGAAGATCGGAATGTTTTCAGAAGTATAGAAATTCTTCCGAACTATAGAAAATTTTCGGATAGAAGTTTCTCAGAATTATCTAATTTTTTCTGGGTTAACGAAATTTTTTGGACTGCAGATTTTTCCCAAATTATCGGACTTTTCGGTATTATAGAACATTTTCAGAATTATGGTGACTTTTCGAAATTATCGAGATTTTTTCGGGATTTTCGATTTTTTCAAATTTTATTTTTTTTTTCAGTATCGACAATTTTTCGGAATCATCAGAATTTTTTCCGAGTAATGGGTGTTTTCCCCTGAATTATCGTTTTCGTTTTTTCGCCCGTGTTTTTTTGCCTGATCTTTGAGAACGTTTGAGGAATCTGCGTAATTAACTTTTCGGTGTTGTTCTGAAAACTTAGTTCATTATTTTAGCCTTAAAAAATTAAAAACTAGAACTTCTAGCACAAAATACAAAGGGTAAAAAGTTAAATAAAATTTTTACTTCTATTTTAGAATGCATATGGGATATTTGGTAAATTGTGCTCTGGGCTGTTTTTTTTTTGCTTGGCATATCATTGTCTTTTACTAGCATGAAATAGCTTTTAGGGTTTGGGAAAAAATCGTTATTTTTTAATAATTTTAAAGCTTATTGAAATATGAAGATTGTAACTGAAAAATTAATGAAATATGATTTTTGCAGAATGAATGTGTTTTATGGTCTATAATTTTTTTCGTTATTTATTTGCAGATATTTTACATTTACAAATTATAAAAAACTTCTACAAATACTAACATACACACGTTTTACCACCCCACCATAAATCATTCATTCTATTGCTGCTCCAATTAAAATTTTACTTCTAATAATATGTAGCTTTTACACTATACTATATTTGAAGCTGTAATTGAAAGCAAATCATTGATAGCTACTATTTAATTAACCATAATAACGAATAAGATAAAATAAAGCTATAAGGAAAAAAAACAGAACCAACCATAAACATACAATTACAAATACATACTAACTTCATAAATATTAACTTCTAAATATTCGTTGTAGTTTCTCGTTAAATTAAGTTGTCAAATCCGACAGCGTAATATAAATCTGCATATTTTTGAGTGTAGTATGAAAAGTAGAATTTTTTAAATAGCCGTTGTATGAGTAAAATAGAATTTGCGAGGTGGCGTGCCAACAAGAAAATTTAGCGAAAGTTTTCCACAAAAAATAATAAAAGATAAGCTAAGCAATAACTGAAATATTTCAAAATATTTAAATAGTTGAGTAAGGATTACTAAAAAAAAAAAAATAAATATAAGGAAAGAAAACAAGAACACCAATTTTTGGTGTTAACATATATATACATATGTATGAAGAAATACAAGGAGAAGAAGAAGAAGCAGATACTAATGTTGCTGTAGAGCACAAATCTATTTGGAAAATTATTTTTCATTGTTCGTAAACACTTTTAATCCTTTAAATTACTTTCTAACCTTGCATGAGTGAAACAAAATTGTATAACGAATCAACTAAAACAACAACTAAGTACTTTGTTTTTGTAAGCCAACTATGCAGCAACACAAAAAGAAAAATATGTCTTTTAAATTCGCTTCAAACTCAAGCTATATAAAATGTAATATAATTACGTAAAAAATATATGTATGTAGATTTGAAAATATACAAGTAACTATCCGTACCCATAAAAATATGTAGCAAAAAATAAAATCCGAAGAATTTGCTGAATTCATAAATACAAGCGAAATAATGATAATGCAATGTAATTTAGTGAAAAATAGTTTATTTTTGTAAGCAGAAAGAAAAGCGGAAAAACACACAGAAAAGCAGCAGCGAAGAACGGGTTAACGCCAGCCACTGACAGAATATCGGCCGTTTATTTAAGCGAAAAAGTCGGTGTCGTGCAGCTGACGGTTTAGCCTGCTCTCCAAAATTGTAATAAAAAAAATAATAGGTTCCTAAATGTAAGCACTGCAAACATATATGTAGATACATATATACACACATACTTTACACATACACCCAAGTACATACATACATACATTGACATATTTATAGAGCATAAAATAAGTAGTTAAAATGAAAAGCGTAATTTAAGCTTAGCTATATATATGCGTTTTGAGCGATATAGATATACATACCCAAACACATACAAAAAAGTATACAACAGCATGAAAATACATATTTACGTTTGTAATGATTTAGTAAGAGAAAATTAATGCTCCTCCTTTGGCGTCAATGCCACTTAAATTTTTGATTTCTTTTCCTTGATTTGCATCTAACAAACACATACACACTTCTGCTGTGTTTGGTATAACGGTGATAACTCCAGAAAAATGTTGCTTTCGGAAACTTTAGGAAAAAGTTGCTTGCATTTTCGATGGAGGCAAATTGCTTCTGAATCTATTCTTGGTACAGCTTTGAAAATGTTAGGAAATGTCAAAATAAAAGCAATTTGCAATAGCCTCTATGCACCCATTGATTTATGGGCCCATTACGTATAGCAATGCAAATTTGTTGGCTTGCTGATGGATAACGCCACTGAAACGAAAATCTATATATTGTGAATAGCAACTTTAGATATGTAGGTGCTAAGAAGGTTGAAGGTAATAGAATTTTGAGGCACCAGGAATGAAGACTTCAGTGTACACAAGCTACAAGCTGGAGAAACAGTTGGAAATATAAATGCATTTTCTCAATAAAAATTTCACCGGCAGCCATAAAAATGCAGTTGACAATATAGCAAGTCAGTTACCAGCTTTTAGTTGCCCGCTGTCATCGAAATACATAATTTACACTGGCGATCAAAACCGATTGCATGCACGACATTTTATTATTTGCAGTAGCATAGCTTTTTTTATAAGCGGATGCTTTGAAAATTTCCGGACTTTGTAGCACAAAAGTGAAATGATTCGTTTGCCAGCAGGACGGGGATCCAAAGAATTCTGAACGTATTCTCGGACGTATGAAAATCGCAATTAAAGATAAGGGAGTCTCCACAATCCTGTTGGTATCAACCTTCAAAAATCGCCAAACAGAAAAGTTCAAAACTAAGTGAATAGAGCTGCTCCACGTTTTTGCTGTGAACCGCTTGTTTCTTGTTAAAGCTTGGCTTTTCTGTATACTAGGCTTTATTCCTTGGATAACAAGGACCAATTGCTGAAAATTTCAAAGCAATCCGCATACTAAAAAAGTTATGCTACTGTAAGTAATAAAATGTCGTACATGCGCTCGGTTTTGATCGCCAGTGCAAACTGAACAAAAAAGCTAACAATTATAGACAATTTTTTGCTAATAAATTTTAGGAGCAATTTTTGATTTCGTTTAGGCTAGCTGTTTGTCTGGCATTTTATCTGTTAAATTTTCAATAGAACATTTTTTTTTTTTAATTATTGATAAAAAAAGTCTTTGCTACAAGACGTTTGCAAGCTGTATTAGAAGAATTTCCAATAGATCTGCGTCTCCAAGGCATACGAGGTGTGTTTCTAAAGCAACCGAAATTAAATAAAAGAAGAAATGTAAGCTTGTCGCTGCTTGTCTGGAGCAAAGTAAAATCTGCGTTGCTACCTTTTTTATGTAAAATTCCCGCTTCTAACAGAAGCTGAATCAGAAGGCCAGATAGTAATTTCGTAATTAAAAAAAACCGACTTCAATGCTCATATAATATTAGGATTCCCGTTAGTTTCTTCATGATCCAATGACCCCGAACTACTAGAGATGGGTGCGGGACTAAGTGTTCAACGCCGATCCAGTTTTTCAGAATTATACCGTGTAAAGTTCACATTGCTTTCGAGTTATTTTAAATAAAAGTTATACTTAATTTTTTTTTTCTCCAATATTCTACTTTCGTCACACTGAAAAATCTGGCATCAATCAACTATTCCGTTTTCCTTTGTTGTTAGTTTTCATCGCAATAAAACATTAAAAGTGGTTGCCGTGCGAGGCCACCGTGGTTCACAGTTATCGGGTAACATTCATAAAAAAAGAACAAAAAAATATTCGGACGAATTGCAAACCGCCTTTTTTTGAAGTCGATTAAAAATAGATTTTAATTTCCGAAAATCGTTATTTGATATTTCTTCATTATAGATTATTATTATTTCGCACAAATTCGTCAAAACTGTAAAATGACAACACTCGATTGGTTTGAAATTACTTTCAGCAAAAATGGAAGTTGCTAGTGTAGTGCAAGCGAGTTAAAATTCATTTTCGAAAGCGATTTGATTTCAGAAAATAACAAAAGTATTGTTCGGGTGCTCCCACTCTCAATGCATTGAAAAAGTACTTGCGTTGCCACGTCTGCCTACACTTCCATATACAAGTACCCAAGTATACATATTTTTGATTATATCGCGTTAGGTTTTAATTTGTCACTCAATAGCATCTAAGGCTGTGTGCATAAATGAATTTTCGAGCAAATTTTTTCACTGGGTGGTCTCCTAAACTGGAAATAGTATGAAAATCTGCGCAAGGTCTCGAAAATTTGTGCTATTTTGTTGTTTTTTTTTTTACCCGTTCTGTTTTCGTTTGATATCAGGTTTCACTATTCAAAAAGAGAACCTAAAATTATTGCGACTTGGTTTTCAATTATAGACTGTTTAAATTGATGATTTCTTTTTGTTATTACAACACTTGATGAAAAAGTCTTTATCATTGGGAGAAGAGCAGAAAACTGAACTTGGAGCATTATATAAGAAAAAATTGACTTGCTTTTTATTGCTTCGAAAATTCATATGTAAAACGTATGTAACTAAATTTATTTGTTAGAAAAAAAATAAAGATATCAATTATATGTATGCAGATATTAAAATTTTATAACCTTTGTTATGTAATTAAAAAAATCTTATTTAGTAATTAAAAATATCTTATCTTACATACCTATCGCACACCTAGATCTAAAGTGAGCTAACTCAAAAATCCGCGCGGGGGAAATATAACTGTTTGTGGATCGTACAGATTCAACGAATTGATTCATGCAGAAAAATCGTCCTAAGTTTTTTTTTTTTTTTGAGTTGATCGCACTTTAGATCTACATAGGTGTGTGATATGTACGCATAATATGTAGTGACATTATAAGTAAATATGTATGCTTATTCCATTTGTGTTATGTTCTTTTAGTCGTTAGTTTAAAGAAATACAAAATAAAATGTTTTGGTATGGTATTGAAAAAAAAAAACAAAAAAAAAACAACTGCCAAGCATCCACTCACATTTTACAATAGTCGAAGCATCATTAGGCACAAAATATACACACACACATACGTACATATGTACACATAAGCACTCTCACATGGTTTATAAATAGCAGCTGTTTTTAACTTGGTATTTTCTGTTTTATTTTTTCCAAAATTAAAATATTTACTGATTTTTTTTTTTTGAACAAAAAACAAAATTCGTTTGAACTGAGCAAAGCTTGAAAATGTAAGTTTATATAAAAAAGCGAACTACAACAAATTGGCAAGTGCACTTATTGAAACGCATTTAAACAATACAAAATAAATGCAGAAAAGCAAAAAACACAAAAAAAAAAATATGATAAAAATATTAAAAATATATACTATATACAACAAAATACAGCTAGATATATGTAAGTGGAGTAATATTAGCAAACAAATTAATCTAACAAATTTAGTAAAGTTATATGCAAATTAAATATTAAAATTAGTAGCAAAAAGTCAAACCGCCAACTTGTAAACAGTTTATTACATTTTTCTATAAACAAAATAAAATAAATGATACCGGCGTGCAGCAGTACACGTTGCGAAAAAGGCAAAACGAAATTACTAAATTCAAATAAACAAATAAAATGAAATTAAAAAAAAAAAAATAACCAAAAAAATGAAATGAATGTGAAAATGTGGACCCGCATAAATGTTTGATGGAAATGCAAAGTATGATATAGTAAATTTAATAAAAAAAAAAAAAAAATTACTAAAGTTAAACAACAACAAAAAAAAAAATTAAAATGTAATGAGGAATTAGTTTAAAATTAATAACACAATGGAATTAAAATATTATAAAAAATAACATGTATGACAACAGAAATATTAATAAATATATTTAATATGAATAACTCAATGAATTAGATGTTGTTGTTTCTATTTCGTTTGTTCGTGTTAAAATATGAGATAAGTTTTTTGCAATTGCGATCCAGGAAAAAGCAATGAAGACGTAAAACTGGAGAAATCTCAGGTAGCCAAGGACCTCATGAATAAGATTGATGTTGTGGTTGTTGTAGCGGCTGGTTAATTCTGAGGATTTTTGAAATTTTCTTCCATACAAAGTATGTTCGACAATTTTTTTTTTTTTGTAATGGAAGAAAGTGATAAAACCATCCGTAGAAAAAATTATCAAAAAGCAACGCGAATTCTTAGCCACTTGAAACTTGCACTTTATTGAGCGGGAATTCAATGCGCTATAAAAAGTTTGTTGTTGTTGTAAAGCACATACATATATGTATGGTTTTTGTTAGATAATGTATTTTTATAAAAAATTATAAAAAATTAAACAAGCAAATTAAAAATAGCTACAACTTTTCAAAATGTTACGTACCTATTATTTTTCACATGACTGTATATTGGGTACGTCGGGGTTTATTCAGGATAAGTAAGAGTTTAACCAAATACAGTATCCACACCGCAATTGAGTCTCTGTGGCTGGGACGGGAATTGGCGAAGGTGGTGACAGTTTCCGCGTGAATGTCGTTTATTGCCTCTCTGTAGAGTGGTCCAAACAATTTTTTCCCGAGAAGCGGTTGTAGAGAGAAGAAACCTTTAAGTAACCTCTTTTAATATTGCAAATATAACTACTTATACTTAAGTCAAAGCTTCTTGCTCATTTAACAGAATCATCCTTGTTGCTATTGTTGTAAGATGTTATTTTTATAAACATTGAAGTACATATGTACGTACGCATGTTCCAATTTGATGAAAACAGGTTTCCGCTAATGCTATACAAAAAAAGAATTCAGTCGCGTCACTGCTCATGGGCGGTCTCTCAATTTTGTTTATTCTTTTTCTTAACTCAACGCCAATCTCACTTGGCGCACTCAATCTTAGCAACAAAGTTTTGGCCATGCGATTTGTTTTGAAACGCAATGCAGTGAGTTTTTCAAGCACTCCAAGTTCAAAGTTACGAAGGTGCTCCAAGATGATAACAACAACAACAACAGCGGCTGTAGAGAGCGCGCTTAAATGAGAGTAATAGGCAGCTGCAAGATCAGCGTTGATCGTGGCGGTGACTCAGTTGCCATTGAACTGATCAAATATTTGGCTCGATTATTTCGCATCGTTACTTCATTGTTAACAGTTTTCTTCTTGTTCGGCCCGGGTAACAACAATGTGTGTCAAAGGTGGTGGGATAGGCGCCTACGTTGGTGTTTAATTTGGTACTACACTCAATAAGATCACCAATAATTCACGAGTGAAAGTAAATAAACCTGTTTTCGAAGCGAAAATATTTATTGTATGCCGCAATAGCCACAATAAATTCCAAGCATGTTCTATAGAAACGTAGTCTGCTTGCTGATTGGCTTAATTGTGGGAGTGCGGCTCACCGATTTCTGCGATTATGTCAAGTTGCAGCAGCCGAACCGCAGTGTGCGACAGAATTACACAAATCTTACACACACCAATACACTTACAGCGGCGCAGGATGCCGATACACTTCCGGAATATTTGTTTAACACCACTCGTGTTTTGTGTTGGATCATGACTATGCCAGAGAACCATTTGCGACGTGCGGTGCATATACGCAACACTTGGGGCAGACGGTGCAATAAGTTGCTCTTCATGACCACCAAAGACGATAGCTTCTTGGAGACGGTGCGTTTGGATGTGCCTGAAGGTCGAGATTATTTATGGCACAAGACGCGCGCTGCTTTCAATTATATCAGCGACCATCACTTAGACGACGCCGACTGGTTTCTCAAGGCCGACGATGATAGGTACGTTAGAGCGTTGATGATAAAACAGACTCAAATATTTACGTTTATACTTTTAGTTACTTCATTATGGAAAATTTGCGTGCATTTCTCTATCAATTCTCTCCAGATGCGCCGGTATACTTTGGCTGCAAATTTCATCCGTTCGTCAAACAGGTAAATCATCTTAAAAAAGATTATTTATATAAAACCTTAGATACCCAATCTCATGGCGTGTGTACTAGTAGACCACTGTTGGCTAGAGAAAGCTGCGAACTGTGCGATCCTTTAGCAGCAATCGCCAAGGATGGAAACGACTAACAACGTATTAGGTGGTCTAGAAATTCTGCGTATTCTAAGTACATATCGTCGTTTAAAGTACCCCGTATCGTGGTTCTTCCGGAAGCTCTTGAGATCAAGCCTTATCCATTTATACCCAAATATCGATAGATATAAAAGGTAGAGATAATTGGGGATAAAAGAGAGGACCGTGTTGAAATAAGACCGGATTTACTCACTCCTGCAAAATTTTGGCAACCTTACACGCGAGGTTTTGCATTCTCTTCGTACTCGCTTTTGTACTTTAAACGACGATATGTAGTATATTGGACTTCACTGGAAATGCGAACACTTTAATTAGTATTGATATCAAGCGAGTTTTATTAATTTGCACTCCGGTGCTGTGCGGCTTCTGCGCAGTTCGTTTGAGATCATAAACGACCGGCTGATTGACCACTTCGGGCTAAGTCTAACAGTTTTGTTGCCTAAGTTCAAATAGCAGGCCGACTCTCTGAGCAACTGGTGAGGTTAGGTGAGCAGAGCGTACATTATGCCGCAGCCCCTTTGCTAATTACTTTTAGTTGGCAATGCTTATACCTTCATTCGGATGCCCCTTGCCAATCCTCTCGGAAAGTTCAGTAGAGCTCACTCCATAAATCGGGGTTTCCTAAAATAATCAACCACATATTAGCTCTGTCAGCATGTGGGCGATGTTGTAGTAGTCGTTCAAGATAAGTTTCGCCAGACCTTAAGCGATATAACAGAGTCCACCTTGACCTGCTAAAAAACTGCGTTCTGAGCTAAACCCAGCTAAGACTTAGTTAGTTCTCTTTACTAGGCGGTACAAAAGGTCGAGTAATTACAGTAATTACTCAGCACGAACAAATGCTAATAATTATGAAAGAGGATGTCTCCCAAACCAACGACGGTATGAGTTTTTAAGGGAGTCGTAAGTGTTTGCATTTTGGCCAAAAGTGCAACTAATTTATCGAAAATATTATGTATAAAATGACTTCAAATAAAATGTTTGTCCTCAGACTTCTACAGTAGAATTTGATGAAGATTTCTTGTGGTAGATTTTAACCCTGTAACTCCTACTCAAATGGGCTTTTTTGTCACGCCCTCAAAACAGCTATACCGAAAGGTCATTAACAAAGGCTAAATTGTTGGACTGTATTATCGACAAAAAGCTGCTCTGGAATTTGTTGCATGCCCTTTGACTCTCTAAATGCGATCTTTCATCTAAGGATTAAATAATCCGGCTCAATGCTAGAGGGATCCTCAGATCATTCCGACTATTATATACGAGTATGCCCTATGTAAAGGGACAGGAGTTTTCTTCCCTGGATTGAGGACATACAATTATTCGACTTCTCGAGCACTTAAGTGAATATCAAGCGGAAGTGTTGGCCATCCAGGAAGCATTACGGAGACTTGCTCAACGACCTATAAAGAGGAAACAATCTTGATCTCCCCTGGCCATCAGGCAGCCCTGAATGCCGTAAGCCTCTGAATGAGATGATCTAAGATTAGAGACTTCAACTCTCTAAGAACTCCAGCCTAACCTGAACCATCTCTGCCAGGCTAAGGCTCGATTCCTGTCTTGGAAAATATATTTCTCCTTGGCTTTATCATCCCTCCATTTGTTAAAATTCTTAGTGAAAATTCTTTTTGCTCGGCGCTAACGCCGCGTTATTGTGGGATGCTTCATGATGCAAATTGTATGGGCATAAGGATTTTTGGCGGGCCAATTTAAAGGCGACAGTAAGTTGACCAATGAGGTGGCAAATTTTAAGGAAAAATGAAACGGGGACCTAAAGGCTTCATATATGTTTAGTCGGGTCAATGGCGTTCACCAAATCGATAACGTTTCAAATATCGATAAAACCACGAGAAACATATCGATTAATATATAGACAACCAAAGTGCACATGAGAGAAATTTAAAAATCTACTTAAGCTCTTTATAACAAATTGCTGAGGGGACTCATGGAATAGCACTAAACGCCTTGAGGCGCTAATTGAGCCACATTTCTGTCGAATGTGGACGAACTTTTCATATGATTCATATCCGGTATTTCATGGAATCGCATGAATGCTTAAATTTGACAGTGCCTACCAACGAGGAAATAAACATACATATGTATATACATAGACAAAAGAAAATTTCAAAACCATAAACGATTTGAGTATTGTTTAAATTGTTTTGTGTACGCGACGCGTGACCCAATGGCAAATATTAACTTGGCAAACGCCAACACGCAACCATCATCATACTCATACGTACACTCAAATATTCAGTGTATGCGGATGCAAACACATAAATACCTAGTTATGTACCTACATACCTAACAAAACCAAAAATGCCGAGCATTACCAAAAACCTGCTCTTATTTTCGAAAATCACCGTTACACAGAGCCAGCAGCAGCAACGACTTTCAAACCGACTAAGCACCCTACGCCATCCACCAGAACGACACAGAGCCGCACACAATCAACATACTCAAAACTCATCCCACGCACAGCAAAGTGTCCCTGCAGGGAAAGATTATAGTTGTGAACTAGGTATGTACGAGTAGAATTCTACCAGTTTGCGTTTTAGCCCAATTAGTTGACGTTCTATACTTTTTCAATGTTAGCGATTGGTGTTTTTAACATGGTGGTGCCCTCCGAGATGTCAATTGTCTGACGATGCATCAGCACCTACCAGTAGAATTTAGAATTTAGTAGCATCATACCCCTGCAAGAACAGTGACTATTATTTGACAAATCATTTGAGGGGCAAGACTGATAGAGATTTCTGTCACTGGCTACCTACAAGTTTCTATCAAATTCTAAAGGGCAGTGTGAAAAATCTGATGTAAACATTTGTGTACAAATTCTTCCGTCTTCCTCCAACTTATGGCCTTATTTTATGGTCTGTTTTTAACCAACGCAAAAATTTGCACATGTGTTAGTAAGATAAATGAGAATGTGTTAGTTTCCATCACACAATTATTGTAGGGACTTGTTTACCGAATAGTCTGCAAATTCATCCCCAAAGAAAATTCAAAACGAATTCGAACCAGCAATCTCAGGACCAAAAGCGGTAGTCTTCACACGACGCCACAACCGACATTTGTATGAAAAAAAATGCAATTAAATAAATGCGTTTTATTGTTTCCTTTGACAATTCAAAGGCAGATGTCGCTGATTGCATAGTTGTTCGAAATCGTCAAACTGGTAGGTAGGTTTAGCTCATACCAGTTAATTAACTGGTATTTTTACTGACTGGTTTGGCTTTTCACTGCAGTTTACTTACATTTACAATCCAATCATTGTCATACACATGCATGGGTACATACATATGTACTAGGAATGTTAATCCCGGGATTCTTGGCAAATAATCCCGGCATTTTCGGGATTTGTAATTTGCACTGATGGCAATAATTCCTTTTCTTGATAATTAATCTTTTTTATAAATGTCTAGCTCATTATACATATAACACCGTGCGATAGTAAATATTACACACAAAAATCAATATATTCGCGAAACCATGGGCCAAATATAGTAAAATTGCATTTTTAGGTTTTCACTCTGACGTCAGTAATTCAAAAATGATTTGAAAAATTCAGTGAAATGTCCTTAGCCAAAAAGTATGGGTATCATATTAAAAAGGAAATTCTGGTAAGTATTGAGAATGTCCTTTTAAAATTTTGTCCTGGAAATTTCGCAATATTTGTTTTTGAAAAAATTATATGTTAAGGACTGACATAAACTCGATAACATCCTCGAATCTCGTCCTTCTAACTTTATCAACTTAAAAAATTAACTATTCGTTCTTGTGAATCCAAAAAATTTAAATAATTTCAAATTCCAGAAATTTCCTTTTAAATTTGGTACCCATATTTTTGTTCTACATTGCATTGAATTTTTTAAATAATTTTCGGAATTAATCATATCTTTGAAATTACAACGTCCTTTAAAATAAATCCTGGGGAGAAAAAATAAAAACGCCTATTTAAATAAGAAAGTAGGTTTCAAACCCCCATTTATTTATTATTTATTTTATGGTAGGGGAGCTTCTCAAACAATATAGACGCAATTTTCTCGATTCAAGTTGTTGAAAAATAATAAATACCTAAATTCCGGGACTAGTCCCGTGATACCGGCATTGTGCGAACGACATCCCGGGATCGTAAAACGTGAAAAAATTAACATCGCTAATATGTACATATTTACCTACACTAAATAAATGAATGTATACTTTTGCAATATTTGCTGTCGCGCAATATTCTTATTTGTGCAAATTTGGCGTTACTTATTTGTTTGTGTGTTTTGTTGCTTTACTTTTTTTGTACTATGTACTTCTATTTCTATTTACATATATATTTTTGTTGCTATTTTGTGTTTTTGCCGAAATTAGGGTTACATGTCTGGTGGTGCCGGTTACGTACTCAGCCGTGCTGCATTGCGTCGCTTCGCTGAGGTCGCCTCATCCAACAACAGCGCGTGCTCGCAAACCCAACTCTCCGAGGACAAAGAGATGGGTATTTGTTTGCAGAATGCCGGCGTTGTGGCGGGTGATGCGCGCGACGAGTTGGGTGCCGAACGCTTCCATCCATTGGCGCCAATACATCTGATACCTGTCGATACGTCGGAATGGTATCCATTGTACCTGTTCTACAAACGAGATAAGGTCAGTTGGACAAAGCTTACAGAAAGTGGGGTGTTTGG